GATCCACTGCAAGAGCCTTTATTCAAACCTGGAGAGAAATGGAGAGATGGGGAACCTTTCCAACCAAAGTCCCTCCAAGAGTGCAATAGCAATTAAGCAGGTCACAAAAGAGCCAAGAACAATATCTAACGAACTGTAAGCCTCATGCGCCTCGGTTCAGATCAGTACTTATGATCCAACAATGGAGGGAGACTTGAGAAAAAAGGCAAAGTATGAGAGCTCCAGGTCAAAAACCTCAGCTGACCAGAAAGAAACAAACAGTTGTCTCACATTAACTCATAAATATTTCAGTGAATCAAGAGAGGTTAGGGAAGATTTTTTGTGGTCTGAAGAGACCAAAGTGGAACATTTTTGCATTTTAGCTGCTTTGGCACATCCAGATCTGTGTCACAGACCTTAATCAATCAATGATGTCATCCATGAAATCCTGAAGGAGAAAGTGTAACCACTAGTTTGAGACTTTAAACTCATGCACAGTTGTTTTATCCAGCAGAACAAAATTAAAACTAAGATTTTCAGGTGGCTAAAGAAGATGTTGTAGCTTGACATGAAACTATCCATTCGTGTGTATAACCCTGTAGTGGGACTGAACTCATACTGTTCTGCAATGAAAAAGGGGTCAAAAGTTCCTAACAGCTTTATTTAATGACGTAAAACACTTGGGTGTGACAAAAAGTCATACAATCAAATAGGGAAAATAGATTAAAAAGTCTGAAAATCTAAGCTAAACTAACAACAATATTTTTTTTTTATATATGCTCCTCTTGCTTGGGCCTTAATTATGTTTTATTGAATTTTCTTTTTCTCATTTGTTTTAAATTAAGTATACTTTAAATAAATTTTATTTTTGCACCATTTTTATCCTACTGTTCCTCAATGTACTTTTTATCACTCAGTGTTTTTGTGATGATTTGCAATCATCTTTTGCAGTGCTTTTATGATCTCTTTCTTGAATTTGCTCCAGTTAAAAAAGTAAAGTTTATGTTTATACACTAGAAAAGCTTTTACTAGCATTATAGCAATGAATCTTACCAGGCATAGTCATTTCTTTTGCTAATGTCTAACTCAGGCTGGTCCAACTATTATAGAACTCTTAATTTGTTGAAAGAGAGAGTTTGTCAGAGTTTAGCTTTCACAATATATCTTTTGAGCAACCTTGTGTCAGAATCCGTCCGACCAGTCTATGTTGTTAGATTGATAACTAACGCTGAAATTGGTTGCACATAAAGACCAGCATATTATAAAAGGGTGCAGCTTTTCCTGGTATTGCATACCTCTAAATCTTTTACTGGCAGTCAGTACCAAACTGTTCCGACTTCCTTTCAAATGTGCTTTTTCCTGTCTCTTCTGAAATCTACAATCAACTCTTTTTCACATTTAGAATCAGGGTTTACAGAGCGTGCCACAAAGCAGTACACTGACTCCCTGTTCTCAGTTTCTTCTCTATTTCTTATAGACCCTAAGAAGAGTCATGCAAGTATTCCTATAGATGACAGAAGTCTGTCTTGTACTGGAAGTCTGAGGTGTAAAGAGTGAAAAGGAATGGGAAGCTCACCATCCCCTATGGTGCTGGCTAATTGGTTAGATACTTTACCATTTAATCTAAGAAATTGTGGTCTGTTTTAGGTAATCTTTGACACAGGTAATTGCTGAGGCTTCTACTTACTTTTTATGGGGTTCCTAACAAAGCAAATCTGGCTGAATCATGTTAAATGCACTGAATAAATCATAGAATATAATTCTCACACTATTGTCTTAATGTCTTAATGTAGATGGAGTTAAAGGTTTAATCATAAACTTATTCAATAGAACCAAGTCCATGGTGATAAGCAAATTGTAAGGGGCCCTGATAGTGTCTTGTTTGCTAGCTTAGGTCACAGGAATCTCTTGGACCTTCACGATGAGGGATGTCAGGGGAGTACGGTGCATGACATCATCCAACACCAGAGGGAAATATAAAACATCCCAAAAAAGATGAAATAATGTTGATTTAAAAAGAATGATCAGAATAAAACTATAAAGGCCACTTTAAAATGAAGCTACGTGGCAGAGCACAATTTTTTAACACCATTACCTCCATGCAATATGGGCAACGCCCAGGTCAGGATAAGTGTCCAGTAGTGTTCTTTAAAAAATTCCAACATAAATTGTTTCCATGATGGCTTCAAATGTTTAATAGAACTCTTGCATGTTTTAAGTTATTTATTTAAATTAGACGACTACTCCTATCAAGCAGTTATCTTGTCCAATGCTGATTGTAGAATTTTATGCAATACCCTTACCAAGTATTTAGAAACAGTTTATATCCCCTGTACAAACAGACTCTCCAAATAAACCTGTAATAGGCTTTTGTTTTTATTTGAGTCTTTTATCATCCCCCTTCTTCACCTGTATAAACTAAAATACAGTGGACAAGAGTTGACAAGACTTTCTGTGACCATGAATATTCAGCAAAGCAGACTTTATTTCTTGTTTTTGAAACCTTGAGAACAAAACGATATATCTTGGTTCTTGCAGAGAATCTAACAAGCTTAAGTGGTTACAGTGAGGAAAATAAGTATTTGAACACCCTGCTATTTTGCAAGTTCTCCCTCTTAAAAATCATGGATGGGTCTGAAAATTTCACCATAGGTGGATGTCCCCTGGGAGAGATATAATCTAAAAAATAATCTAGAAATCGCAGTATATGATTTTTTTTTTACTATTTTTTTTAGCTGCAAATGGGTATTTGAACACCTGAGAAAATTAATTTAAATATTTGGTACAGTAGCCTATGTTTTCAATTACAGAGGTCAAACATGTCCTCTAGTTTTTCACCAGGTTTGCACACACTACAGGAGGGATTTTGGCCCACTCCTCCACACAGATCTTCTCTAAATCAGTACGGTTTCTGGGCTATCGCTGAGATACACAGAGTTTGAGCTCCCTCCAAAGATTCTCTATTGGGTTTAGCTCTGGAGACTGGCTAGGCCACACTAGAACCTTGAGATGCTTCTTACAGAGCCACTCCTTTGTTATCCTTGTTTTGTGCTTCGGGTCATTGTCATGTTGGAAGACTCAGCCTCGACCCATCTTCAGTTCTCTGAAGGAAGGAGGTTGTTTCCCAATATCTTGCAATACATGGCCCCGGTCATCCACTCCTTAATATAGTGCAGTTGTCCTGTCCCATGTGCAGAAAAACACCCCCAAAGCATGATGCTACCACCCCAATGCTTCACAGTAGGGATGGAATTATGACCAGATTTAAATTCAAATCAGATGGTTCAATAGTTGGTTTTTTTAAGAAGGACAAAGGATCTGTAAAAGGTCACAACTGCCTCTCTATCTCCAACCCAGATGGGACAAAGTCTAAAAAAAAAACAAAAAACCCACACCAAACTCCACACCTTCATATGCCCTCTTGCTAAACTCCCCTCTTGTCCCTGTCCTCCTCTCAGCAGTTCTCAACCTCATCTTTCCATCTCACCCTGCAGTTTTTTTCTTATATAAGAGAAGGTGGAAGCACACCTCACTCAATGCTCCCAGTGGATTTAATCGCACCAGTCAAATCCGGCTATCGGTGCCTTGTAAATGATTTTCATCAGCAAAACCAGCGGGGAAATATTACATAACCGCCAACTGATGGCATCTGTATCTGTGACACCTATCTCACTTTGCACAAGAGCATGCTGTTGTTAAATACATTCACGCTCGCAGTCCACCAGGTCCATTTCCAGCACTTTGCACACCCACACACACGCAAACAGATACATTACACAATTCTATATAGGTGTATTTCACCCTCAGTTGTCTTAGTTGTCTGTTGCAGCTTGTTTGGTCTATCCAGTGCTCTATTAATGAACATAAAACAGTTTGCTTGAAACCAACAGAAACATACCCAAACTTTTCTCTCTATATTTTCCTCGTTTTCCATTGACGTGAATTCATTTTTAACACATTTCTAAAGCCAAAACGTGAACCTAACCCTAAATCAAACCATTTGGGGTTCATTAATTTTAGTCACTGCATTTATGCCTAACCAAGACATTTACCCGAACCCATTATCAGTATATTCTTAATCCTAACCTTAACTCACACCATACCTCTGAGTCCAGTCTTAACATGATGACTTGATGAGATGACTGGAGTCTGGTGTGCTATTGCTTGATTGGAAAGAAAACCTGCAGCCTCACGGCCCTTTCTGGAACCAGTTTGAGACCCCTGCTCTAGATGGACCCTCTAACATTAAAAATGGGGTTCTGCCACATTAGGCCCAGCGTGTTGGTCCTCAGAGATTTAGTTGATATCTTAAAAGGGTCCTAATTTGGTGACATAAACAAGTACACACACACAGTTATGTTCCGCTATCCTTAGGGGGACTTTCCAGTAATTTCCATAATTTCCCATTCATCTCTATGACCTAAACAAGACCCTTATGCTGACTGTAACCATTACCAACACATTCCTAAATCTAAGCCTAACCAAAACTCTTATTTACACCTTACTCCTGAAGAAAAGAACCTATTCTTATTTGGAGCAGACGAGTATTATATTTAGGTCCACACAGTGTGGAATATTCCTAGGAATTTGACCTTGCACTGTCCCTGCAAGGTTGCAAATACACAGCCAGACACACAAGCTTGTCTTTAAGTTGCAACATACTTCAGTTCCTGCTGTAGGACGACAGTGACTCATCCCCACATCAGAGGTCTGTTTGTAGAGTGGGTGAGAATTGAAATATCAGTTGCTATTCATTTAGTGTGTAGCTGCTGTGTGCAGTAACATGGAGATGGCAGAGCTGCTTTAAATATTCTACATGTAGCTGCTTCCATTCTGATGAGATGATTAATGTTAAAACCTCTAACAACTACCTTTCTGTTTACTTTGCTCTTACAGGATGACTGTAGCCTTGAGGCGCTCCCTTTGTTGATGCATAATCGTTGAATCAATGCTCCTATTGTCTAGTTTTATGAATAAATTTTTTTTATTCATATTCTCATGTATGTATTTACTTTCTGCAGGAGAAGAACTTAGACTGGTTCCCTCGCATGAGAGCCATGTCATTGGTGAGCAACGAAGGAGACAACGAACAGAATGAGATCCGATCCCTGCAGGAGAAACTGGAAAACACAGTCACTCTGGTGTCACAGCTGTCGAGCCAGCTGTATGAGCTCAAAGAACAGGTAGAGTGTATTTTTAGCTCAGCTTTAGATTTAGCCATAACCATATCCAAATGGTTCCACTAAGTTCGGCCCTCAAAGCAGCGAAGGTTCGTGGGAGCCCTTGATCTCTAACAATGCAGGTGGTTGAAAAGTTGAAATATTTTTGTAATTCAGCTCAAACAGAATGTGTATTCTTAAGAAACATTATTAAAATGGCTTCCAGTGCAGAAGTTTTGCCTTGACCTTCACATAGGTAAGTCTGTTAACTTGCTCAAGCTGAGTGGAAGGAAAAGGGATGATAGAGTACTCACAGAGTTAAACAAACTCCAATAGGAGTTTAGGAGAGTATTCTATTTAGTGTTTGTGTATTATTATTGTTGTTTTTTCTAAGAAACTGAATCTTGATTTCCTTTTACCATAAATAATCTTGAAAAAAATCCAGAAATCACAATATATCATTTGTTAAATGTTAATTTTTTTAATACTTATTTTCCTCTCTCTCTCTCTCTCTCTCTCGCTATATCTATAGATATATATATATATATCTATAGATATATAGATATATATATATATATATTATATAATATAATTTTTATTTATTTTTAATAAAAAACACAAGTTATTAACAGAATGGTTTTAGTGTCTGATGGGCAGTGGTGGGTAAATATATATTCTGCTTAGGGCACTATAGAAACATGCGCTCTGCCTGATAAGCTTTATATTATTATCTTCTAAGCAGATGGAGAGATTAAACGATCTCTTGTTCTTAAATGTTTGATCATTTGTTCAGGAGCTTGTTTTACACTTTGAACTCTGTTTGCTCTCTGTGAGGCTCTTTTCACCTCAAAACACCAGCGGAGAAAAAGGTGGATGTCATGTTGTCATAAGCCCGCTCTGAGCCGAGCGTCGTCGACAGCTTCTGTCAGGCTCAGTCGGACACAGCCCGACAGGTGACCATCATGTTGGCTGAAAACACAACCGCCAGTGAGCCTCTGGCTGTTTGGATGACTAGTTGCTTTGCTGCAGTGTGACCGATCTCTCCAATCACCTGCCTACCGTGCATGTGATCTCAGGCACAGGCTTGTTCTTGTTCCCCCTTCTGCCAGATGTGCGAAAACAGTTCCTGCTGCGGCAGGATCACACTCCAATAAACAAAACAACAGCCTTTGCTGACCTCCTCGTCCTGTAAAGCTGAAAACAGCTTCCTGCTGCCTTCCAGTCCCTCATCCAACAACAAAGCCTCTGTGTTGCAATAGCACCCTTTGGCAAAGAGAGAAATGTTTATCTTTACATCTGGGTTGAGGCCAATGCTGACAATCCAATTCATATTTAGCTTCCATGCTCTTCACAATAACTTATACTACAGACTTGCATTTATTACACTAAGTTTCAGAAATGATTCTGCCCATGCAGAAACAACAGGGACCTGACTGAAACTGCAGGTCTCTTATAAAATAGTTTTCATGCACCTTGAAACATCAACGCCACCTCTGCTCACATCCAAACATCCTGCATTTATATCTGACATACACTATATTGCTAAAAGTATTTGCTCACCTGCCTTGACTCACATATGAGCTTAAGTGACATCCCGTTCCTAATCCATAGGGTTCAATATGACGTCGGTCCACCCTTTGCAGCTAGAACAGCTTCAACTCTTCTGGGAAGGCTGTCCACAAGGTTTAGGAGTGTGTTTATGGGAATTTTTGACCATTCTTCCAGAAGCGCATTTGTGAGGTCGCACACTGATGTTGGACGAGAAGGCCTGGCTCTCAGTCTCCGCTCTAATTCATCCCAAAGGTGTTCTATCGGGTTGAGGTCAGGACTCTGTGCAGGCCAGTCAAGTTCATCCACACCAGACTCTGTCATCCATGTCTTTATGGACCTTGCTTTGTGCACTGGTGCACAGTCATGTTGGAAGAGGAAGGGGCCAGCTCCAAACTGTTCCCACAAAGTTGGGAGCATGGAATTGTCCAAAATGTCTTGGTATGCTGAAGCATTCAGAGTTCCTTTCACTGGAACTAAGGGGCCAAGCCCAGCTCCTGAAAAACAACCCCACACCATAATCCCCCCTCCACCAAACTTTACACTTGGCACAATGCAGTCAGACAAGTACCGTTCTCCTGGCAACCGCCAAACCCAGACCCGTCCATCAGATTGCCAGATGGAGAAGCGCGATTCGTCACTCCAGAGAACGCGTCTCCACTGCTCTAGAGTCCAGTGGCGGCGTGCTTTACACCACCGCATCCGACGCTTTGCATTGCACTTGGTGATGTATGGCTTGGATGCAGCTGCTCGACCATGGAAACCCATTCCATGAAGCTCTCTGCGCACTGTTCTTGAGCTAATCTGAAGGCCACATGAAGTTTGGAGGTCTGTAGTGATTGACTCTGCAGAAAGTTGGCGACCTCTTCGCACTATGCGCGTCAGCATCCGCTGACCCCGCTCCGTCAGTTTTAGTGGCCTACCACTTCGTGGCTGAGTTGCTGTCGTTCCCAAACACTTCCATTTTCTTATAATACAGCTGACAGTTGACTGTGGAATATTTAGGAGCGAGGAAATTTCACGACTGGATTTGTTGCACAGGTGGCATCCTATCACAGTTCCACGCTGGAATTCACTGAGCTCCTGAGAGCGACCCATTCTTTCACAAATGTTTGTAAAAACAGTCTGCATGCCTAGGTGCTTGAATTTATACACCTGTGGCCATGGAAGTGATTGGAACACCTGATTCCAATAATTTGGATGGGTGAGCAAATACTTTTGGCAATATAGTGTATTTGTGCAGCTTCATGTTTTTTAATGCAGCAAAATGCATTTACTTCACTCGTTTGATTTCTCAATGGGGTATAAAAGAAATCAGGAGAGACTGGACTTTTTCCATACCAACACATTGCTCTCTTCTTTTACACTGCCTATAAGGAATTTCCAATTTTTCAAATATAAATGATTGGAAACAATGGAAATCATTGATTTGGGACTTTACTGAGTTATGGTTGTTGTTTGTTGTTAAATTCATACTTTCTGTACATCCCTCTTAATATGGTAACGTGGTTAAATGTCTCTCAGCAAGTTGTAAAGAGATGCAAATTTTGAAGCCTTTAACAAGACATGATTCTGACTGGATATTGGAGTTCTCTCCTTGATGCAATTGTTTGAACTTATTACGTAAAATTGGAAGGTTTTCCAGTACTGACAGAGTCTGACTTACTTGCATTCATAAAGCTCATAATTATTCAATCAGAAAACCGTTTTTATTGGGGCTTTAGACCATTGTTTTTCTCAAACAGTTCAGCATGGTGGTTGTGGTATCATGCTGAGGGTCTCTTTTGCACTGATGCATATGAAAAATTGTGAAATAAATGTGACTATGGAGTAACTTAATTTTTTTTTTTACTTCAGCTCAATTCAAACTTTAAAGTAAAATGCTGTCCCACAGGACAAAGCTCTCAAACACTGATCAAAACCAGATTAGCATAAAATGTACGTATTTTATCCCAAACCTGTGGACTTAGTTCAAAGCTAGGTTAGTGCCTAGAATACAACAATCTTCATATAAGCAGCATGAACAAAAAATATTGATGCACTGACTTATGACAGAAGAAATTTTAAAGGCTACTAAAAAGTAGTTTATATTTAAATAATTTTTTTTTTTTTTTAAACCATCCGGATTCAGTATGGATTAGTGTGAGTGGTTGCGGTTAGAGCATTGTGCTTGGGTCCCAGAGGTTCAACTTCACTCCCACGGTCTGCCACTCTGGGTCCCTGGGCAAGACCCTTAACCCCACACTGCCCCTGGGCACCAACAGTGGCCACCCACTGCGGGGATGGGCTAAATGCAGAGAGAGAATTTCTCCGTTGGAAAATTAAACTTGAGCTGCCAGTTTTGGTTTTTGTATTGTTGAAGCTGGTTGCTGCCTCATCTTTCTAACATGCTCTAGAAAGTCGTTAAAGGCCCGAATTCTTGCTAATCAAATTCATGTTTAACATTCTCATCATTGCACTGATAAATGAACAAACATCCCTCTGGAAGGCCAGTGAGACTATTTTCATTTTGCACATTCAAGTGGCCACTAGAAAAGCTAAACACGGCTTTGCATGTAATGTGTTTGCAACAAGCGGCATTAAAAGCCACTCCAGCTTAATTGTGTTTTCTTTGTTTGCTCCACAGATGACAGAGCAGCGTAAGAACAAGCAAAGGCTTGGATTCCTGGGTCCTCCACAGCTCAACCATCACATCCCAACACACTGAGAACTGCTTCTAATAAAAGTATGCCGACTTTAGCCTTAAAGAACAACACACGTCCTCAGATGTGTTCCGTCAACCACTGGAGTCGAAAATGCAAGCAGCCAGTGGGAAAGTTTGGACTAGATGCTTTCGTTGTGACTCAAACACTTTCTTTTTGGATACTAAATGTGTTTCATGTGTCCAGTCAGCAGTAGGACGCAGTCCACATCTGTAGCATTGATGGGCCAGATCTAAGGTCTAAGAGGGCGCACACTGTTAAAGTATTTACCCTTTAGGTTTCCTTTTGGTATTTATGAAAACATTTTCCTTTCATAACTTGAGTATTACTTTTGTGTTCTAAGAAGAAATCATGCTGCCTTACTGTATTTTATAAACTGCACACTGGAATAGTGCACTTTTAAAGAAAAAAGGGAAAATGTTAAGGTTGGAACTGGAAGTTCTGGTTTGTTCGAGATCTCACGTTTAATCATCATGTAAAGTGTCATGTTCAGATATTAATTCACTGCACCACTTCTGTTGCCTTTTACACATTTCTATGTAACTGTGAGCAAAAATATTGATAGCCTGTGGAAAACTTACTTGAATTTTCCTTAAGATATTATTTTTTGTTAATAATTTAGTGATGGTGGATGATAACCCTGGTTTTCTTTGTTACATTTCTGTTATTAAATTTCACACGACAATGATGACATAATTCACTCATAGTATTCATTTAATCTTGTTTTGGTTTGAAATCTTTGCCCCTATTTGTTTTCCTAGAGCTAAGATCACACCTAAATTAAAACTTGTTTTAATCTCACACAGCAGCACAACTGCAGAGGTTTGTTACTGACCTGTGACACTTTGTTCTCAAACCCAGTGTATGAAAGATCCATTTTATATGCTCAGAAGATCTAATAAATTTATAACGACAGTTGTTTGGATGACTCAGGAGAGTTTGTCTTGATCTTTACTTTTTATTCTTGTAGCTTTGGATTTTTGCTCGCCTCTCAATTCACTTTCTCATATTTGTTCCTGGAAAGGTAATAAAATAAAATGGACAGATATGACCTTATTTCAACACACAGTTTATTTCAGCTCATATACAGTCTTCTAATGATATAAACAAATATGCTGCTTTTGTTCAGATCTTTAATTATAATTGGATGTTTGGCTCACTTCACATCACACCTTTGATATTTGAATATATTCCATGGAAACACACCGAATAGAAATTCTACGTCAGCCACAAAAATCTCATCTGATTTTGATACAATCTTTTCAGAATGTTTATGGAGTTAAGGGAAAAAAATCCAATGAATTAATTTATAAGAATCATTGGTGCTCCTTTCCAAGCTGAACATGTAGGAATTAAGTTACCCCCTAAGTTACTCTCTGTCGCTCTTATTCAAAAAGGTCAACTCAATCATTCTGAATACAAACAAATGTATATTGCAGCGATTTATCTCATGGAGGTAAACCAGAACTGATACATTGGACTCCAACAGTAACACATTTCAAGCATTCATTTTTCTAACATTATGAAAAATGTTAATTTCAATTTAAGTAGTATAGCAAATAAAAAACAAATTCACGGTTTAGTTTATTGCAAAAAATTAGCATTTAGATGGGATTTTGAGGACAATAGATTGCAGTATAAATTTTAAGGTGTCAGAATCCAGAGTCTATCATCAGACTAGAAGATCATAGTCCTTTTTTTGTTTTGTTTGTTTGCTGAACCATGTAACCTTTTTAAGCGAATACAAATGTATCTTACTAGCAATACAAAATTGAACAAACAAGCAATGTAAATCCACTACAACTAAGGTGAATTGGTTATACCTGGTATGTCTGTTACGTTCTGGACTAGGTGCAGATAATGGAGTAGAGTGATTTCCTTTTCCAAATCTAAAATATAATAGTACTAATCATTTATTAAACAAGAATAAAAGGTATCAACAGTGAATAAATTGGATTCTTTTTTTAAGGGGCCAAGTCGAGTTCATCCTTTGAGTTTGGGAGCTGTTTTTACAGCTGACTGTTTTAACGCGATTATGCAATTTTGTATTATAAAATGCCTTTTTTTTATTTTCATTATTGTGCAGAAATCAAAATTTACACATACTCTGGGGGTAAAGTATAAACCTCTTTCCCACCCCTACACTAATCATGTCATTACCTCGTTTTTTTTCTAGTTTTATAATAAAATCCCTTTCAATTATTCACCATTGACATATTCTAGTATTGTTAATAGATCATAACTAATAATGAGAGCTTTATGTTATGGAAATGATAGGAATAACGATAGTAACACAAATGAGAAAAGGTTTAGGCAAATTTTTATTAACCATCTTTTCATACCAGGATTTAAAATGTTTCACATTTGGACATTAATTGTGCTCCACATTCAGACCTTTCTTTGGTTTTTGTTTTTCTCCCCACAAACGGAAACATTTTCCTGTTGTTGTGATAATTTGTGGCAGTTGGTTATTTTTAGTGCGATTTGTTTCTGAATAGAATTTTTAAGATTTAATGGTACATTTGTGTGAGCCAGGTTATTCAGCATAGGGGATTACATTTATTTATTTTTTTATATTTATTAATAAATGTAATGTAGTTTCATAATTGTTACCCTGAACCCCTGCACAATAACAGACGTATGGTAAGACTAAGGAACAATACAGAATTGGAACCGCATTCTGATAAATGCAAGTTTTTCTTTACATATTCAAAAAAAAACCTTTGTTATAGTTTCTTCTGAATTCATTTGTTATGCATGTTCAGGTTTAGTGCTATCCAACAAGCAGCTGAAATCCACACAGTTTTTTAATTTACGTATTTGATGGACCAACACAAAGTTGAAAAAACAATTTATTTCTAATGTTATACTGAAAACTCAGCCACCACTGAGTCAATGATTTGCAGAACTATTCACTGCAGACACAACTGCAAGGTTTTTTCATCTGAAGACTCAGTGTTTCGCCCTTTATTTGTTGCAACATTGCTTGAGCTCAGTTAGATTGGAAGGAGTCTGTAGACATTTTTTCCCCAAGTCTCAAGACAGATTCTCAAATTAGTTTTTGAGAGCTATAACTAAAGCATTTGGATTTATAGTCGTATAACAGACAATGACATGCTTCTGTAAAGGGTCAGATAAGGCTTGCCCAAAGTCGGTCCTTGAGGGCCGGTGTCCTGCAAGTTCTAGAAGTTTCCTGTTACAGCACAACTGATTCTCATTGATTGCTGATTAAAAGGCTTTTGCTGAACTGCAATCATCAGAATCAGCTGTGCTAAAGCAGATAAATCTTTAAAAAATGCAGCACAGCGGCTGTTAAGAACTGACTTTGGGCATGCCTGGGTTAGATGGTGGAGGAAAAAATGCTCAAAATCAAATTAAGATCTTTGTTAGACCTTCAGAGAGTTTAAGAACTTTAGTTAATAAGACCTTTGTGCTAATATTAAAACATTTGAAGCACGTCTCAAAACCTTTAAGCAATGAAAATGAGACAAATTGTTTTTAATCTCCCCATATAAAACCCTTTTTACAATATATAACACTTTAAACATTGCTTTGCAAACAGACACTTGAAGAAAACTGCAAATAAAAGTTTTGTTAAAGAACTCATGGAGATGGAGCTCATCAGAAGAGCTGAACTGTTTTGGAAGGGGGCAGAACTGGAGTTATGACGCTGCCTGATCTGCTGCATGCCCACACTCCGCTTCCCTGTTTTAGCTGATAAACGAATCACAGGGCGCAAACTAGTGTTTCCTCCCATCCTGTCATTTACCCTCCGCTGAGAGGACCATCCGTCTTTGGCTCCGGGTTTGTTGTTTACGCTGGCAGGCCTGCTTTCACTCCTGCTGCCGGTGACAGCCATTAAAATTAGTTCATGCAGTGCCATAATGGTGAGCAGCTGTCACTGCGTAGACATGAGGGGTAAAGTGCAGCATTACTGGAATGTGTTGCAGTTACAGAGGGAGGAAGAGAGTAATATTGAAACCATCATTACTGTCAGGGAGAGGTTTTTAGAATTTGCCATGTTCAGATAGTTCTGTCAGTCTGAGTGGCTCTTCAAACTACACAGCTCAATTTGACTAATTTCCTTTTTTACTTTAAATTTTACCCTCTCAGTGTGGACCTACTTTAGGATTGTTTTTAACATCTTTCCAGTCAAACCGCAGGGATAAATCACATGCTTTGCCTTTGTGTATTCAGTAGAGAGAGAGGGAAAACAGCTAGAGAGGGTGAACAAACACAAGATAACAAGCACCTCTGTGGCTGCAGGCAGTTGGAGATTCAGACCTCTCACCAATAACACCCTGACCAATGCATGTTCTGCAGGGAATTTTCATGTAAAAAAAACACATGTTTGGTTTGTTTGTGAAATGGTCCATTTTGTTCAGCAGCGTTTTGGGCTTTAATATTATCCTACGAATGCCATCTTTATTCATCTTCTTTCTTATTGTTGAGGAACACCGAACTCCCGGTGAAGTCTTAGAGCTTTAGATGTTTCAGAATGATTTCAGTTTACCACTGTGCTGTTTTCCCCATTCGTTTATAGTGATTCTCAGTTTGAGTACTCATGTCTCCAAAATCCTAGAAATGATCTAATAAACATTTCCAGACTGTTGTCTGAACATCAATACATTTGTTTCTCATTCATTTTTTTTTATTATTTCTTTAGATCAGGAGATAATCTAAAATACTCTGACCCATTTCAAAGGAGTAATTTAGGTGATTCTCAATATATTTACTCATATAATTGATATAAAATCTGCAGTGGGGTCAAAACTTTTTAACAGGACTGGAAATACTAACTGCTTTATTGTGTTATCATTTTTTTGTTGTTGTTTCAGCTGACCACACCTTAAGGCGATACTAACACACAGAAGGCTCGGCGACAGTCAGCTTCATCTGTCAGGTTTATAAATAAACTTGCCCCCATGATGACTGGCATGTGATTTCCAGCATCTGGCTGTAAACTTTGAGCCTTGCAGTCACATGACCCATTTACATCACAGCACAAAATAAGCACGTGAAAACTAAATAGTCTGGGCTTGGACAGGCTCTTTCTTCTGGTGCAATGTGAGCTCATACTTTTAAAAAACATCTAAACAAAAATAGATAATTTGTCCCCATGAACCCTGGCACCCTTGCACCTTTCCACCATAGCTCTGGCGATGTGTTTAAGGTCCCTATCCTGCTAGAAAGGAAACTTCTCTCCCAGTCTCGAATCATTTACAACCTCTAACAAATTTTCCTCCAGGATTTATTTCCCTGTTTTTAGCCCCATCCATCCTCTCCTCATTTCTGACAAGTTTCTTTCCATTGTAATGAAAAACATCCGATAACAGAATGCTGCCACCAAGATTCATCAAGAAGAAAAGGCTGCTTTCACCTTTTTTAGTGGTGTATATTTTCTGTCTCTCATTGGTGTTTTGCATGTAGGTCAGAAAAGTTCAGTTTGGTCTTGTTTGAGTAAAGAATCTATGCCTGCAGAGCTCTTCCTCCAGCATGGCTGCCCGGTCAACATTTTCCCATTCAGCGGGCTTCTTATTTTCCCCAGAAAGAAACATAACATCTATTCTCTATAAAGAATGTCAGCATAAAATTTAAAATTTATAGGCCTGTACGTGTCGATTTTCTGCTGTTCATTAGAGTCACAATTCTGAGAGCTAAAAACAATTAAAGCTAATGTATATATTTTTTTGTTTTCCCTTTTTTTTTCTCCTTTTGGCTTTGCCATGTGTAAATGAACACACATTTAAAAAAAGAGGATGTTATGTCTCTCCAGCTGCCTGTCTGATTCCCCAGAGTCATGCTGGTGACTGGCACTGCATCCTTCTCCACCATGAGCTCAGTTTGGTTCTGCTTCCAGTCTAATGAGGTGATATCTGCCTAGACTGTTACAGGACTCATGACAAGCTTTTCAACCTACAAACTGTTCAAAAGGAAACAGTACATAGTAGACCCTTTCCCATCTCTGTTTTTGTTTTGGTTGCTTTTTTAAGTAATGATTTTTTTACTCTTGTGTTTGAAATAATCAAACTGATTTTTGTTCAGCTAACAAAGCTGAATTGATTAAAAAGTCAGATTTTAATGTTATTCCAATTACTTAAAATATATATATATATATATATCCCAACTGTCCTTGCCTATTGTAAAAAAGTTATTCCCCTCTTTGATAAATAGTTGTTTCACTATGAAAATATAGTGAAACAATGATCATAGTGATTTTCATGTTTCACTATGAACAAACAGGAAAAAAACAAAATGTAGTTATTGACCAATCAACTAATTAGACAAGTATCTGAGTTAAACATAGATGAATTCAAGTAGGAACAATGGAACTTCGATAATGCTTTATTTTACCATTTCACTATGGGAGTATCCTATTTTAAAGCTTGTAATAATATAATTTAAAAATTATAACTTTGCAAAAGGTAAACTCTAAACCCAGCTCATGCTGGCACCAAAGAATCAGTCAGTCAATGTTTATTTATGAAGCACTTTAACAAACAAGGCGCCCAAAGTGCTGCAGGTATAAATAAAAATATCAGTTGCGATACTAAAGCAGAATCAGATTGTATGCATTAAACCATCACTTTTATAGAAAATAAAAAGGTACAGAGCAAAAGGATCACTGAGGCAACTAATTGTGATTAGTAAATCCCAGCTACAAAGAATCCATAGAAATTGTGCACAATTTCAGTATTTTCAGCAAAAAAAAAAAAAAAAAAAAAATACTGCTTTCTGGTATGTGTCTGGGATTGTAGTCTGTGCACATAGCAGGAATATATCAAAAATATTTAGAAACAAAGCAAAAGTAATGTACAATATTTAAAAAATATATATATTTTGTGTTTGGATGCATAATATCCACACTTGGCAACAATGGAAACTGCAAGTATAAAGTTTTGTGTAAAACGCTAGCACCACAATATCTCTAACTACAGATGCATGACAAATTAAAGGAAAATGTTATCATAAAGTGAGAAAATCAGGAGATGGCTGCATAGCTCAGAACAAAATCTTTCTGGTCAATCAACTTGATCTGGTGATGCAATACTTTGTTAGGAAGTGAGACGTGTCCTCCAGGATAGCGGCCTCTGTCCATAGAAGCATAAAATTCAATGATTTGCTGAAAATATGTTTTTTTGTTGTTGTTTTTTTTTGTTTTGTTTTTTCAACTTAATAATAATGATCTCTACTGAAACTATTAGGTGAACTTTTGCAGGAAACAAAAAAAGCAATCCCAGCAAACATCCCTTTAGGAAGGAAGGTTCCTCTAAAGATCAAACTTCCTCTTGGTTGGATAATAACGTGTTTTATTTAAACCTCGATGTTTGTCATCTTACTTTACTTTCATTACAACACTGAAACTCTGATATTAATGTAACCTCAACCAGCTGAGGTGACACCATATCCCCTGTTGGCTGCGAATACTTAATAGATTTTTTGCTGCAATGAGGAGTAGGTGTATAAAATATCCTGGTTTTCTTACTTTTAAGGTCCTGCACACTGTTCAGAGGCAGTATCACATTTCAACATTATTCCTCTAATTTGTCACCTGTCTGTAACAGATTTTTAAAAGGAAGTACACACTAACTACACACAAAAAAGGCCCTGTTCTGGAGAGTCTAACACTCTAAAAATCAGGGTTCTTGTTTTACTCTGACTGACCATAGTCATTCTCAGTGGGTTAAACTTTTTGCCACTGCTGGGTGGAGGGAGATCGGATCTGTATCCCGGCAAAGAAGACTTGGTAGCGATCCTTCCACATGATGAAGGCTCCGGTGGCACAGACCAGCGCCTGGGCGAGGTTCAGCAGGATCTGGAGCAGGAAGTAAAAGGTCAGTGTGCTGGTGATCGCCTCGCAATCGCCGGCCCCTTGGTAGTTAAAAGTGCGGGCTATCGGGTCACTTTGATCCAGCACACACACACAGTCCACTCCCGCATTTTGGCAGTTGAAGCTGCTGGCCTGGGAATGGTGGTGTCCAGCAAACGCCACAACCAGCAATGAGATGACCAGGCCGATGGTGCACAGGACAAAGTACAGCAGCTGGTGGGAGAGGAGGAATACAGCAGAAATAAACAATTTGCTAGGTCACTTCACTAGGACAGGGAGTGAACAGCCAGACCACTAACATGACCAATGTTGTCAGTGGGCTTTAAGTTTTTAAAGTTAGAAAGCAGTGTCACAATCCATTCGTAGATTACGCAGGAGATTACACAGGATTATTTTACATAAGCCCCTAAAAAAATAAACCCACTCGCTTTTTTCAAATAGTATAAATATTTCTTTTTCAATCTATTTAACAAATGCATTGAATTAGCCTAAGGTGACTTTTTAGGGCAAGGCGATATGTTGTAGGGGAGAGCTAACTGCAGACTGACTAAATTATTACTTAATTTAGTTGACAGACAGATGGTGTCTTTTAAATGTGGCTTTGACAGCTACAATAATCAAGCTTTGCTTTTTAACCCTTATGAGGAAAATAATCAGATTTTGTGGTTGAAATTCAGACTTGAGATCCACTGTCTTGCATGCTAATATAAATTGGGCCACCCTGTTAATGTATATAATTATCAGGAGGAACATGCTGATGCATGCCTATGTACATCACAGAAACGCAACAGAAGTTACGTCTAAATGAATGCTGCCAGATTTTTCTTGATTTAGAAAATATTTTCTTAACTTTTTATCTTTTTCTGATTAAGTTTAATACCCTATTTATAAGCTAAAATTCAGGATAACGATTTCGGAATCCCTTTTTTGTCTTTGGTAAACATTGTCCTATGCGACGAGCCTTGGGTTTGGCTTTCCAAAAGTCATTGTTGCTTATTTTTGTTTGCACTTTTAGCTGTTTGCTTGTTTGTAGCTTTTGTACTTTTCAAAAAAATGTTAGTCAATTTCCAACACAAAAAGAAATATTCTTATTGTAAGCTACAACCTTGGACACAATTACATTTTTTTTACGTTTGGTTGTGCTATAATTTAATCACCAAGCTGTAGACATTCTCATCCTTCAAAACAAATTTACTTACAAGTTTAAGTAAAGAAAAAAAGAAAAGAAAACTGTACTTGAACCAGTGCATTTTTATATATTTATATATAATCTGCCTTTTGCTTCAGTCTGTTGTCTCATGATCACCACATAGTGCCAAACGTGGGGCTTAGAAACTGAAATTCTGGCTCTGTGCCTGCTAAAAAAAAATTCAGTTCAAAGAGATTACCCACAACACTGCAGGGCGAGCTCTGACCCTCAGGGTGGGAGCTCAGCTTTTAGCACAGAGGAGACATGAGTCACGACACACTGCCAGGCAGTGTTAATGGACGTCCTGCATCGGTATTCTGACCTGCAGAGATTGTCTAAAAATACATCTGCAAAATGTAACAGAGGCCTTTTCTTGTTTATGCAATTGTTCAATCTCAATAACGCTAAACCTTTCATTTTAATCCAGCCGTTATATAACAGGAGCTCTCATTCTCCAACACGTTTTAGTCTCTGTTGGGGAATTATGCAAGTGATGAATTAAGCGTGATTTGTAATGGTGTTTATGTTCATTTTGCAATATCATACAAAGGTTTAAGTGGACATGCTGCATGGATGTGAAACTAAGATGCTAAATCGAATAACACTGTGTAAAAACATCATCTAATGAATCATTTTAAACCATGAAAGTAAATATTTACTTTATTCAACTCTCAACATTACAACCCTTATGATAATCCCCACCTAGAAGTGTTCACACCCCTTGAAGTTGATCATGTTTTTAATTAGATAGACTAGCAATAAAGTAGGGAGAACATGAAAGATGGATTTCAAAAGGAAAAAAATCCACACTTCTTCCAATATACTTAACAGTGTGCTGTCTGTTCACTCTCACCTTTCTAGTATGGTACAATGAAAAAAAAGTGCAAAATCCCTTTAGGGGTTTTTAAAAAGGCAGCATTTGTATAATTTAATCTTATAGTATCAATCTAGTCGTTCTCAGAAAGCCCAGGATGTTTGTTAAAAAACATAAGTGAACAAACAGCATCATAAAAACCAAGGAACAATAGACATATGTATGTGTAACAATAATATTATAGATTATAGACAAACAAAGAAGAGGCTGGTGTCAACTGAAGATGACTGAATGATTTCCTGAGGTCAGGAGGGAGAATCTGTAAGCTGTTTACCCAACAAATATAGACTTTATGGAAGAGTGCCGAAGAACAAATCAATTCTTTGAAACATACTGAGTCAATTTTTTTCAGTTTGTCATGTAGAGCATGTAGAGTACACATACCCTTAGTGGTATAAAATACTGCTGGGACAGTTTTACTTTGGAAGGACCATATTGAAAAATTAAAAAAACTTTTATCAACCAAAAAGTTTTGCTTTTTTTTCTTATATTTTTAAGTTCACCAAAATGAGGCAGAAGAACAAACTGGAAGTAGAGAACAGCCTGGTATCAGCTGTTTTTCACACTGACCTATCAGAGCTGGTGTCTGGATAAAAAACAAAGTAAAACTGAACAAGTCAGTTTAATTCCAATTTTTGTTCTGTATTTTGTTCCCAATTTATCAAGTTTAAAGGTGATTATAGGGGAGTTACTCAGAGGAGCTCCAGTTTATAAATACAGGTTTGTAATATGATTTTATTTCGTATCTATTATGATTCCTTACTCACTTCCAAGCAACATACTAATTGTTTTTTTATTTGACATGGAAAGAATAAACTCCTAAGAATTAAATGCTAAGGTTAAAAGATTTAGTAAAATAGTTTTTGTTTAATAATCAGTCATTGTATGTCCACTTTTGGACAATCATCAATACATTTGACTGAGAAGGTTACTCATGGTAAGCCAAAATCGCAAAGGGGTAAACAAGTGCACACCTGCACCCTAAATGCACAAGGAAACGTTGTCAAAGATCCTTCCTCCCAGTTACTGTAAGACATTATAACCACCACGGTTCCAAACAACATCAATAAGTCACTACATTGATACTGATTTTTGTACAGTTTCTGTCTTAGTCAGTGAAATAAAATACTGCTGTCATTTTTTCACATCTCTGATGTTTGCTGCTATTTTTCATATATCCTCATACACTTATCCACTACATAAAAAATGTCTCTTTATTGATTAATTATTCCCCAGATACATAGTATATATTGTAAAAACACTGTACAGTACAGTATTTTATTTTTTTATTTTCCTAACTCACTTATTCTGTTATTTTTATACATTTTTCTAAGGTCCACATTGTGTGACAACTTCTGCTATAACCTTTTGCTGCTGCTGTAACACCACAATTTCCCTATTGTGGGACAATAAAGGGATTTTGTATTCTATTCTATTTTATTATACCAAAGCCCATTAACCTGGTATGCTCCACTTCTCCTGCCATGGGGAAGCTGACCTTATCAAATTCTTAACTGTCAAAAGAATAAAGAAGATTAAAAAAAACTTATAGCATTTCCTTTCACTCTTTAATTAGTGTGAAGTAATGTTTTCTGTCACATTAAATCAAATTACAGTATAGTGTAGTTTGTGTGTGTAATGTGACCGAATGTAAAAAGGCATTAAATGCATGTAGAGGCGGTGCATCAACAAGCATTGTGTAAAACATAATCAAAATGACATGAGTACAACAAAACAAAGCAAATGGAGTACACTGAATTACTTGTTGATTCGGCTTATTTATGTACATTTGTCCTCTGCACAGAACAACTGAAATAAAGTTAGCTGCCTGGAAAAAAAACATTATTCTCCTTACGCAAGAAGGAAAATAATGAAGCTATTGGAGCAAAGCGCATCATAAATTACAGCACATTTGCTTCAAGGGCTGGAGAAAGGTGCTCTGATGTTCATATAATTAACAGCAGGGTGCTTTGCCTGCGATACATTCTGAACGATTAATGGTGACAAAGGATGCATGCCTGGAGACCTGGAGAGGTATTTAGTTTTTTCTGGATCTTAATGACCAATACAGGTGGATCTTTCGGTGAGGGAACTTTTTATATATATCACTAGGGCTGGATAAAAAAATCAATTTAATTGATTTTGAATAGCTTCCTGTACATTTTTGCAAAATCGATGTCTAGGGAATGAGATCGATTAATTTTATAGTCACACGTGACTTTCACATTCAAATGAGCAGGAAAGATGCACTCAAGATTACTTCAAGCTGCAAATATAGCCAATAGGTTGACTGAAGACATTAACAAATGGGGGCTGACCAGCAAACACCCTGTAGTTGTTACAGACAACGCTGCAGCTCATGCAGTTCACACTTCTGCCGTGTCCCCTCTGTGTCACGTTTTGTTCACATCTCAAGTTTAAACTGTCTGATTTACAAGTTTGCACTTAGTGTTTAATATGGCAGGAGAAAATAAAATGCAGGAGCATTTTTAAACACAGTTGAACCACTTTCGTTATTGTAAAAACAGATCAAATCGAAATTAATCGATTTAGAACCCTATGAATCAAAATCGAATCGATTCAGGACTTTGGCAAAAATACCCAGCCCTATATATCACTCTGTGCTTTATAAAATGTAAACGAGGAAAGCTCATACTTTAAATTTCAGTAAAAAGGAGCAAATATATAAAAATGTTTTAAAGCGCTTTGAGTCATCTTTACATCCTTCAGAGTTTACATATTTAAACATGGTGTACACAAGGGAGCTCTATAAAGAAAAAAAAGAAATCCCTCTTTGGAAAAAGAACAACAGTGGACAGATTTTAATTGCTTGGAAAATCCAACTGCATGCATTGTGTGGCTAATTAAGCTGTACAATCAAGTCACATTAAGAAAAGTGCTCTGCTACTCATACCAATCCCTGTGGAGCACTTTCGTACAGGAATACAGTTATATTCTCTACAACAGCCTATGTGATTGGATAAGTCGATGTTCTCTGCACAGATCAGCCAACACCTTTCTCCCTCAGGTACCTTTTTTATGCTTGCATTGTATTTTAATTTCAATCTAATAGATGTCAACTTACCTTGACAATAAACTGCATAGATGTTCTCTCATCTGGCTGGTAGGTGATGAAGTAGAGGACGAACCCAACGACAGAAGCTAAACAAAGCTGCAACAGCAAGAAAATATATAAAAAGTTATTCAGTCAGGTAAAAGAATCTGCATTTAAAAAAGGTGTGGTTATCATTTCAACAATGTAAAGTTCTTTAATATGGTATTATTTATTGCCATTGTATATTGCATTATAGGCAAGGTAACGTATAAATACGGAAAAAAACAATTAACTCCTCTTTATTTGCCTCATAATACTGTATGATTCAGCAGTAATCAGCTGTCTGATTTCATTACTTTGCTTTTCTCCTTTCTTTTCTGACAACACACACACACACAACACACAGAGACTCGCACTCTATCTCTTCAGTGCAATTGGAGTCTTGTGACCGACGTGCAGCATCATATTTGAATGTTTTTCCCAGGTTCTTAAGCACCCAGGATTCTCTGGAAAGTTCTCGATGACCTCAATGTTTTTCACTCTGCTGAATCTCGTGAGGATCTAACTCGGGATGTTGGTGTCGAGGGATGTTTTCCAGAGCCGATGGCATCTGTGATAGGCCGAATAACAGCACAAAACGGGAAAAACATGTTTGTGTGACCCTGAGGCCTTATGAAAACTCTACCTATTCAAGCTTTTTTTTTTTTTTTACTTCTTCACATTTTTTAACATTTCAGCACCAGAACTTAGTGTCTTTGCATGAGATGTATTTTTATAAATCAGAAAAAAAGGTGCATACTACATAAAAAATATTGATGCAAACCATGATTCGAAATAAAGGTGGGATGGAAAATGCAAAATAGGGAAACTTTAATGATACTTTACTGGAGTTTTGGTGGTTTTTCAAGGCAAGCCTTACACAAATACATATCGCCGTGGATGGAAGGTTTCTATCTATATCAGATTATATGGAATAAGCAGCTTTTGTAGAGAGAGAGAGCTGTTTTTTATTTCAGATTTCTAGAAAAATCTAAGTGTGTGGAGCATCTTTTCACAGCAACCAGTTCTCTGCTGTTGGTTTTAGCCAGCAGAAGTAAAAAAAAAAACATCTGCACCTACCCCCCACCTTGGTCCTTGCAAGTCCCCCAGGGAGCCCTAACCCATGGACCAGGTCAATGTGACACATACATGTAAATACAGTTTGCCAGCTATTCCATTGCAGTGCTGCTTATGTTCATGTTTGTTTCCCTGCTGTGGAAGGTGAAGAAAGCTAACATTAACATGCTGTGTTGGTGGAGGTGTCATGAAGCCCCACAGGCATAATACTACCTCCACCATGCAACACAGCTCTGTGTTCAATGAAATTTACATCTAGGTTGACCCCACCACATTTCTCTCCCCTTGCAATTCTTCCATGAATATTACATTTTGGTGGAGTGCAGGACAAATAGTTATTGATACCAAACTGACTTTCCACCCTGAGCTATAATTATTTCCTATTGGGCTCCAGGTTGCTTCTCTGATGGAAGCTCTTGCAGAGTTTTCGGTGGACAGTCTTAGTGTCTTTTTAACTCTAAATGGGTGGAAATTATTGTTTTATAACTCCACTGTTTCTGTTTCTCCACATTGTTATCCCTGATTACTGATGTCCCTTATTAAACCTCTTAGTTGACCGGATATGGGAAAAATACAACATTTTCAGAGGTTTTGATTTTTATGTTTAAAATATATATGAAAATTTGGCATAATTCTGGTTACATTAAAACAGCAGGGCTATCCATTCTAATGCTTGTAACATTAAACAAAAGGTATTTGTGATATGTGTGGAAATCTAAAGAAAAAAACTTAACCAAAGTAGCGTAAAAATTATGAAAAAAAAAATGCTTGATTTTATTTCTGCTTTCAAGTTTGCAAATATGCAGATGAAGGAATGAAAACATATTGACACCAAATAACTGCAGGGTTTCAGATGCTGCTAATGTGCTCATGAGGTGGCTGGAAGACAGTACCCTGGAATTGGATGGTTTGGCTCACCTCCCAGGATCCTTAAAGCTCCTTGAGCTTCAAATGCAAACAACAGAACATGCAGAACCATGCTGCTGAGAGGGATCAGAGGCTTATGGATATGCATTCAGACAGGTTCATTTCAATGTAAGTCTGCGGTCGCCCTGCCAAGGGTGTTGGGAGACACTGTCGCCATGAATTGTGGGTCATGCAATATAAAATATGGGATATTCATGTTCCATGCAAACAAGTAGCTTATAGAGGAGGATGCAGTCAGAGCTTACAGTGATCCCAGCCCAGTGAGAAGTCTCCCGGGCTATGAGTGAGGAGCTGATGGCCAACATGAGGAAGGCCACGGCTGTGACAGCCACTCCTAGCAGCAGCTGCAGCAGGGCGACGAGCAGAGGGAAACGACAGACTCTGCACCTTTTACCGTCCTCTGGTGCTGGGCTGGCATCTCTATTCTTCTGGCTCTGTTTGTTGTCAGAGGAACGTTTCTGTCCCTGTCCCATTTTTCCTCCTGCTTTAACACTCTTTCCCTGTTTGAGACTTTTTTTCTGTTCAGTGTTTGAGGTGGATGTGCCTCTCTGTTGCTTCCCCTCCCTTCCCCTCCCCGTCTGCCTTTACCAAGCCTAGCTAAGCTGCTATTTGAAAACAGAGAAGGCTCTGAACTAATATGGAAAACATTTGGACTGGGTTCCCACACCGGCTCCCAAGCCACATATAGAACAGGCAACATGCTGAGGGGGGAAGGAAGAGGAGGAAAGGGGGAGGCGGTGAGAGGCAAAGGGGGCTTCCAACACACGACACAGAGGAGGTTTCTAAGGATAACACAGGGAAAGTACAGGGGAAATCAGCAGGTATGAGTTAATAAAAAGCCAAGAGAGAGAGGAGGTCACACTTGGTTAAACAGCAGCAGTGACTGTATCACTCTTTGTGTCAGCCTTGTTACACAAGAGCCATATGCTGCCAGCCAGAAAACAGTCACATGACTAACAGGAGAAGTAATGTGATCACCAGGCATGTGAGGGCATTACAAAGGCTCAGAAAGGAATACTTAAATGTACAAAAGAGTAGCAAGTGTCTCTGATATAAGGTCCCACAGGTCATAATGAATGCAACTTACTGCAAACTGTGTTATTTAAATGGCGTAGAAAAAGAGTGACTAAGAGATTAACAAAGAAGCACAAAGCTAAGCACGTGTTTGTGCACACAGCTGGGCCGCTGCCATGGTTACTGACAACGCAGCTCGGGAGGACAACCCTGCAGGTGCGCACAACAACAAGCTGCACACACTTAACTCCTACGGATCACACAGAGATCAGGCACAACATTATGACCACTGACAGGTGGGGTGTTCCCTCTGCAGTTTTCAGTATCTTTAGAAAGAGATCCAAGTAAATACTTTTGATGAAGTAGCAAAAGGTTCATGGGTGGCCTTTTTGCATGGTAGACGTTATGTCTGGCCTGATGGGTCCAGTCCAACAGATAGGCTGCTGCCCCGACTCCCCCTTCTGAACACGTTGCCACTTGCAGCATAGACTCACAATATCAAATCAAAGCTTAAATTAATGGTATAACTTTAGAATTGTGATGCAGTTACATTATACATTTAAGGGCTTATTCAGAAGTGTCTAGTCATTTATTTATGACATAATTATCTATCCGTCCATCCATCCATTTTCTCCTGCTTAGTCTTGTCAGGTTCATGGTGTGACCACTGCCTATCTCTTAAAGTGTATGGGCGAGAGGCGGGGTACAACCTGGACATGTCGCCAGTCTGTCGCAGGGCAAAACAGACACATAACCACTCATGCACACACTCACACCTAAGGACAATTCAGAGAATCCAATTAACCATGTTTTTGGACTGTGGGAGGAAGCCGGCGTACCTGAAGAGAACCCACGCATGCTCAGGGAGAACATGCAAACTCCATGAAGAAAGACCCCGAACTTGCTGCAAGGCAACAGCCTCTGTGAGGCTTGACATAATCCTAAATACGTAAATGTTGCACTAAAATGAATCTTGTCTTCTCTTTTATCACTATGATCTTCAATATTCACACCTCCTGGTCATTTAGAATAGTAAAGTAAATCCAGGTCATGATCTATCTAATAAACATTAATCTCTTTCCCTCGGCTTTATTAAAGGATTATTTTCTACCCTCAAAAAAGGTACTTGCTTTGTGTGTAAATTAGCTAACTTTAATACATCTTTTTAATGTTGCTTTTGAAGTAATTCCCTCTTGTTTGTAATGAGGCATTTTAAAACCATAGAGGCAAACCGGGCTTACTTAATGATAAAATTAACAGGCTCTTTACAACATCTTTTGCTTTTGTTCCGGGGTCATTTAGGCTTAAAATAAAACCCTGTCATTAGATTATAATAGATCTCACACAAGGAAGCAGTGTGTTGAGGCTTTTCCTTGGAATACATCATCTGGCCCTCCATTTAACTATTTTATTTTATTATATTACCAGCTGGGATTTCCCAAAAGATGGACATTCTAAGGAATGTTTGTGAACTTCTAACTGGGAAATAAAAATAAGAGCAAATTATTATTCTGACTTTTCTGCTATACATATTTCTAACTGAAATGTGAGAAATGTAATTTATTTTTATAAAGTGTAAATAACTGGTTTAAAATATATACATATATGTATATTTAATCAATGTGATACAATCTGTATTTATATAGACTATTAAACACATCTAGAGGAAATTCTATAAAATATATAGATTTATAGAGGTATTTGGATATTATTTCTTGATTTTATGTTTCAGATTATTAACTATTATCAGGTAATAAATCATTCCTATCAACTCCAGTTGTAAAGTTATAGCAGTTAGTGCTGAGTGCAAACAAAGAAAAAAAAACCATTTGATCCGTTTCCAAAAGCTCTTACCTGCATTCATGCATTTTGCGCATGAATCACGTTTCAGGTCGTAACGGCGCGCAGCAGATCACTGCAGGAAGAGCGACACAATTAGCTGCTGTAGTCCTCATATACACACACACACATACACAAACACAGACACACACACACAGAGTAGTAATTACTGGACTTTGCGCTGGTGCAGCCAACACGTGAGACGGAAGCTGTTCCCAGCCAGCGGCGCGCGTGCGCTCTGACAGCAGAGCTGAGCGCTTTTTTTTTTTTTTTTTTTTTGCAAAGTGGCAGCTCCGGCTTCTCTCTCCAGACATCAGTCTGAACCGCAGCTCCACCGGAGGACACACTCTGCGCACCATCTCCCGGGTTTGAACCGCAAAGCAACAAAACATTTGTCCCCTCCAAAAAAACAAAAAACCAAAGAGCCAGTTTATGAGCTGCAGAGAGGCGATGGATGAAAGGATACCGCACTTACAGGACAGGCAGTTCATGGAGCACACGGATTTTTTGGGGTAAGATTCCCTTTTGCCAAACTCTATAAAACTAATAAAAAAATGATACATCCTATTTATTAATAGTGGCGCTTCCTTTATATTACAGTATGGATTTCCCTCCGCTCTACATGTGCAAATCTAAACGAGGCATAAAGAGGGAGGACGGCGGGAAGGTGCGCGCTGATTTGTTTTATACCAGTCATGATTTTAAAGTACAACCCATGAAGGAAATCAAATGTTTAACTCCATCGTTATATTTCTGTCAGCAGGACGCATACAAGTTACCGCATCGGCTCATAGAGAAGAAGAGGAGAGACAGGATAAATGAATGTATCGGCCAACTTAAGGATCTACTGCCCGAACATCTGAAGCTGTCGGTGAGATCAGGACCCTCCATTAACAAAAAAAGTTTTGACGCGCTCTGGAAATCGCGGACTCAGCTGAAATTGTTTAATCCCAACAGACGCTCGGGCATTTGGAGAAAGCGGTTGTTCTGGAGTTAACGCTGAAGCATCTGAACGCATTGACTGCTGTCACTGAGCAGCAGCACCAGAAGATCATCGCTTTGCAGAATGGTAAGAACTCATCTAAATGATTAGGATGGATACTTCTGGGGAGAAAAACCAAACATCTGTGTGCGTAATCTTCCCATTTAAATAACTTTCTGAGCTTAAAAAGCAGACTGAAAATTAAGATGATTCTTAATAAATAAATGTAATTGGTCACTCTTTCAACTTTTTTTCCCCCGTAGGAGATCGCTCAATGAAACCCCCCATCCATGCTGATCTAGATGCGTTCCACTCTGGGTTCCAGACCTGCGCCAAAGAGGTCCTGCAATACCTGAGCCAAGCTGAGAATTGGACCGCCAGAGAACAGAGATGCGCACAGCTGATCAACCATCTCCACAAGGTGCTGGCGCAGTTCCACCCTGATGCTCCGCCGCTCAAGCATCAGCTACCCGCCGGGGACGCGCAGAATGCGCAAAAGTCCGAGGGTCAGGCCAACTGCGTCCCTGTCATCCAAAGGACCCAGGGAGGGGAGTTTAACGAAAACGACACAGACACGGACAGTGGATATGGTGGGGAGGCAGAGAAAAGCGAAAGGAAAGATAAAGAATGTGAGCGAAACAAAGCGGTGAAAATTAAGCAAGAGTTTGGAGGTGACAGAGTGCCCAAGAAAGCTAAAATGTGCTGGTCTGCCGGGGACCCGACCAGGCCAGATGTGGCGTTTATGAACTCTTTGATGGGAATAAGTGGTGTACAACAGACACCCATTTGCATGCCTTTCTACTTCATCAATCCATCAGCAGCGGCGTCATGTATGCCTTTTTTTGACAAAAACAACATTGAAAAGTACATGTACCCAGCAGCGGCCGCCCTTGCGTCTCCGTTCCCCTGGCTGTATCCGGCGCACGCGTCAGCAGCAGCGGCCGCGGCGGCAGCTGCCGCTTTCCCTGGTCTCTCTGCGCACATCGCCGCTCACCCCAAAGACTCGCAGCTTCAAGACGAGACTGGATCATCACGCGAGACCAGGGCGAGCTCACCTGAGGAGTGCGAGGAAACTCCCCTGAGTGACGACGGAGAGGATGACGTAGATGACGCGTCCCCAGACAGCAAGAATAGCCCACAGGAGCAGTTTTCTGCCTGTCAGACCAGCTAATAAGTCTATGTACCTCTCTGAGTTTCTGTATTTACATTTTTTTTTTTTATTATTCAGGCTACTTTTGAAACGGGTAGGTTATCATGTATACAATATCTTGGGGCAGCAGGGGACAGCAGTATGGAAGCCCAGATCTGCCATTTTAAAGTATGAATGAAACATGGTATAATAATATGGGCTGAAATGTCATTGTTTTGAGATACAAAGTCATTTGCACTGTAGCAGTGTTGCCCAGCTGCAAGAAGGTTCTGGGTTCAAATCCCAGACTGCATCAAGTTTGTGTACTCAGGCTTCCTCCCACAGTTAGATAATGATGCTGTTTGATTAGTGATCATGCTATTTAGGTATGAGTGTTTTATTTATAGTTGCTTTGAATCAGCCTATATCCAGTTACTGCTGGAGATGGGCACCAGGCCCCTGAGCAAGCTGGTTTTTAGAACATTTAGAATAATGATTATGAAATGCAAGTATAGGAAATGGTTTGTTAAAAAAAATAACAAAATAGTTCAAATAGTTTTTTTATTTACCTATTTATTACAAATTAGATACAAAGTCATATTAACTTCATAATTTCAACATCTGAAGTCAGTTGTGTTACTTCTAAACTCATAACTATGAGACACAAAGATAATTTGGACGTCAAACAGTTAAAACTTCAACTTTATATATATTTTCAAACATAATTTAGTCTTTAAAAGTTGGAATTTTGAGATTAAAATTAGTTAAATGTTGACTTTTGAAAAGAAAATCCAAGTTTTCAGTTTAAAAAATTTTATTCTGACCTTAAAATGCACCCTTACATAAAAAAAATTATAATTAACAATTTAATAATTACATAGTTCATATTTCATAGTAAATATTGATGACTCTGAAACTCACAACAATGACAGAAACTTACAAGTATGACATTTAGTATACCATGTTTTCTTTTTTAAAGTGATGAGATTTGCCTTCCATACAGTTGTAATTTTGTGTGCCTTTTGCACTTCTGCTTGTGTTAAACAATCTGAATGACTATCGACAATGATTGACACGTCACGGCTGTGCTGTGCTGCAGATACTTGTGGTTTTCTTTTCCTTAAATCCTATTTGATAAAATATTTTGACATGGAAGCATTGTTTCCAAATCTCTAAGTAACCTACACAGCAGTGCACAATGTTCCAACTATAACACATCTCATACATGCATGGATGTCTCCAGAAAGTTACGAAAAGGGGAGCACTGATAATCTTGGGGTGGCACACTAAAACAAAAAGAGAAAAATAAGAGTTTTATTCAGGGACCTTTTTATTGTTGACAAAAAAAAAAAAAAAAAAAAAGATCTGTGTATGGATTTCTTGATGGCACATTTTACGTGTTGTAAAGTAATTACACCACAAATCAGCTGATAAATGTAATTATACCCTGTTTTCTCATAAATCCTTTCATAACAAATAAGAATGTCTGACTAATACATTTGTAGCAGAGGCCACTGCCCCCCTTGGGACCCCCTCAGTGACACCCATGCAGGTGTGAGAGCTGAAACTGACCTCTGCTTATAAATAAGAACTGGGGAAACTTTGGTTGTAAATATTAGCCTGAAGTGTAAATGTGAGCTACAGAAGCCTGGGGAAGACATGTATTCCTCATTACCTCACTCCAACTTTCCATGAGGCTGGTTAGCTGAGATTGACTGGGTAGTTACTGACATGGCCACCATACAACCTTGAACAAAACACAAGATCAGTTTTAACAATCTATAACTGAGCCTGATATCCTTAAGCCTGTCATAAATGTTTCTTTCAATTGCCGGTGCTGTTGAGAGAACATAACTGGAAGCTGAGACCCTTAAACTAGTTTTCTTGACCAGAACATTGTAGTAACCTGTACCTCCGGGAAACATTGTAGGATAGCACCTTATAGATCTTTGATATTGAATGTACCTGTACTTTCCCAAGTTTCCATATAGGATGATGAGACGTTAAGTGCACTTTTTTCTGCTTTTCATCCCTCCTAAGCAGTCACCTTATCTTTCAGAAAGTCGATCACTGTAGGTCTCTGATGTGTTTAGGTTTATCTTTCAGAGAGTTCCAATTAAGTTTGAATAGATTTTAATGCTGTAAATGCTGAGTGTTTATTTTTTTCTTGTTTGTTTTAAAGATGTTTTAATGGGAAATGGAGATTTGTAAAACCTGCTCCCTGCTATGCTTCAGGCAATCATTCTGTAAAACCTACATAGCTGGGAGAAAAACTGTAGTCATTGCCATGTTAAGAACCCTTTTCTGCTCCTTTTTTAATTTTTACCAAATTCTGCAACTGTAATAATGTTCTGCTTTGTTTTTTTATTGTTTCACATGCCACTGAAGAGGCACAAACTTCATTGTGTTTTGCAAACATTTCAATGCTTTCGTGATTTTTGCTCAGTTGGTTTTTGCCTCAAAGATTTTATCAATGCTACACAGTAGCATGTGTATTTTTTTGTACATAGCTTTTTGCAAATATACCATTAAGTATACGTTTCGTCAATGTTGTATAGGACCCTAGATTTTTTTTTCTTCTTTTAAAAGTCCTACCTGAGCAACTGGTGCACATTTCTTTTGCGCTTTACACGTAAACTGTTCTAAGTTATTGCTGATGAGTTGTAAAATAAATATAAAAAAATCAAACTTTGTTAGAGTTGTGTTCTGCTTTTCATTTTCTTCATAGTCTTGCAGGTAAAAGTGACTTTAAAACAACAAATACTGAGGAGTTGAATTAACCTGTCATAAATAAACAATATTGCTGTTATTTTAGCAGAAGAAATACGTTTCAACAGTCAGTTTTCAGCAGAAAAATGTACAGCAAGCCAAAGCTTTTCAAAAGCGTCATGTGATAAAAAGCTGATGAAGAAAGGTTACAGTGTGTGCAGTCTAATGGAAAAAAGAGGCCTCCTGCTTGTTAGAGGCTATATGCAAGATTAAGAATAAGATTAGGGTCTTTTAGTTTTTAACATGAAAGTGCTTGTTGTAACAATGAGTTATTCTTTTCACAAAAGTATTCTGTTCTTCTTTGTACTTATATCTCATGTCTGTCTGTTTTCCCCAAATGAGGCAGTTACAGCTAATAGATAGATTTGAACACTTCAAGCTTATTGCCTCAGGCTTTTTTTCCAGCAGATCTACCAATGCTGACTAAAGTTCAAGCTTACATTTTGCATCCTACAGTTCTATGTGAAATCCCACACAAAAAAAAACGGTTGATAGATTTTAAGATTTTCCTGACCTTTAAATATTTTTTCTACATATCGCTATATAAATGTAACATGATTGTTTTATTTAACTTAAAAATGAGACTTCAAATATTGTTTTCTTTTTATTTACACTATCATAATATCTGTAACATATAAAAACTTCATAAATGCAGATGTTACAACTTATTTAAAAGTTAAATGTAATGTATTTATGTAATTTTCTATAGTGCAGCCACAAACTTTATCAATGATCCAATGTGCCTTAAAAGACTTAAACCATTTCAAGTTTTGACTCATGATGAATCACTTTTTTTTCTCTTTTTTTAGAATTTAATTTGATCGATCAACACAACTTTCACCTCCAATAAAACGTGTGATTACTGTGGTCAGCATTTCAAATATCCCCATCTCAGTGTTAGTACTGTTTTCAAAAAGTTTAAAATTATGAGTTTCCCCTGAATGGTTCCTGTTAAAAGAAAAATTCCCATAACATGATACTGCCACTGCCATGCCTAGCAGAGTGGATGTCCTGTTTTTCACCACACTCATAGGCAGAATAAAAAGTTCAGTATTGGTCTCCTCTGATCACAACACATTCTGTTAACTGTGTCTTCAATGGCTTTTTTACAACATCTTACAACTTTTTTTCTTTTACTCCCAATACTTTTTTTGTTGTTGCAACTTTCCCATATGTTGCAACAACAACAAAATGCACTTGTGGAATACATTACATACACTTTACCTATGGACTTACTCACCTGGGTGGTGGATATCTGCAGCTTTTTCAAAGTTACTGCAAGCTTATAGGGGCTTCTATTGTTAATGATTGCCTTGTTAAGGCTGAGGGCATAAGTTAATACCCAGGGTTTGTAGGGTGTGTACATGTGCCAAACTCTGCATATATATATATATATATATATATATATATATATATATATATATATATATATATATATATATATATATATATATATATTTTACAATTAACCCAGTTTAAAACTCCAAAACGTTCCGCCTGAGCTGTCTGCTGTGTTATTCAAGCAGCAATGTTCTATAGGTCAGACAGAACAGGTGGATTCATGCTGAGGTCAGATTACAGACAGATGGACGATACTTTATAGTTAAGGGACTAATGAAAGGGTGTTGCTCATACCAAATGAATTCTAAAGATGCATGCCACACTTTTTCATTTTTAACAGACATTAAACATGACAAGATAAACACTGTTCAAATTGAGTTTCTTATACATATATTTGGAGAACACTTGTGAAGAAGGTAGGAGGACATCAGATGAAAAAACCTTTCTTTAGGTAGAAGTGATTAGAAAAGCTTCTTTTAAAAGATTCCATCGAGCCAACAAAAATTGGTGCATAAACTAAAAAAACCTCCACAGGAGTGACTCACCCATAAAGGCCAATTTAATCATATTCCTCTTGTATGTGCTTCATTAAAATGTTTTTCAGCCCAGCACGACAACAACAAACATCAAAAACATTTGTCTAATTCTTTTAGAAAAAGGAGACTACTATGAAGAGATTATTTATTCAATACAATGATCATAGAAAAGGTTGAAATCATAACCTATAAAAACTACAAATATGATTTTTTGACTCAAAATGAAACAAAGCATAAAATACTACAAACTATTATTTCTGAGAAAAAGTCTCCCTCTGCTGGTCTGAAGGTTGAACTTCTGTTGTGGTTGGGCAGTAGATTGGTGGAACAAAAGAAGTAGATAACTCTTCAGTTCAAAGGTTTTTAGTCTAAACTTTCCTCCAGTGTGTAAACAGTATGTCTCACACAGTTTTTAGGAAAATAATTAAGATGTGTGTGAAGAACTACAGTCACCCATTGCCAAAATAAGAAAAAACAAAATCACTGAAATTTTTTGTCCAAATTTGAAGACGTTTCGCTTCGTCTGAAGTAGTGTTGAGCTCTAGGCTTATAGAATAGCCCAACAAAAGCCTTGTTCTAGCCTAAAAAACATGCAAATTGAACTGAAACAGGTCCACCCCTTGCAATGGAGAGACATTGAGGTCGTTCTTGATCTGCAAATTGAACCAAAACTGGCCCATGCCTCGGTAATGGTCATTAGGGTCGTTATTGGCCTGGCTTACAGGAGCGATGTTTTGACCACCTGTATGGTGATGTGAACTGAGATGATAGCAGGAAGGAATCAACGAAAGGTGAAACCTGAGTCCTCCCCCTCTGTTTAAGGTTGTTTTTTTCTCTCTTAATGTAAATGGCTTCCTTCACATCCCTTTCAACACATCAGTCTTCTTTGTCCAAAATGTGAAAATCTTGGTCCTCAAAAGAGTGTCCTTTGTCCTTAAGATGAAGGTGGACAGCAGAGTCATGTCCGGAGGAGGTAGCTCTCTAGTCAC